GTTCATATTCAAGTTCATGTTGGACATTGCTCCCACAGATGCCTCTAGAATGACTGCTTGTTTATTTTAATGAAATAAGTAAGATATTTCCTCAGGAAAAAAAATATTAATGTTTAACATTTTCAGTTCGAGTGCTTCATTTACCAGTGTCACACATGGGTTACACAAACAGAGATGGGGCCAGAAAAGCTTATTTCTTTTTGTATTGTCAAGGCACTTTGATTTGTTTCTTCTCCAAGGAACTTGGGAGTCTGTAAACTGGAAAATAAGAATATAACCTTATGTCAGAAGGAAAAGAAAAAGCAAACCATAATGTTTGCCCTTCAGGCAAAGTTACTCCTTGAGTTCACGTGCATGACTGCTGCAATACAATTTTAATTGTCACATTACTGCAGGATTTCCTGATTTGGCATAGGGGTAATGCATCCATCAGGGCTATTGTGTCCACTGAAAGAAAACACCACAGAGCTACCCGCCAGGGTGCCCAGAAAAAAATCCAGAAAACCCATAGACATTGCCTGCCTACAGTTCTAGGTACTTGAGGTGGAAGGTGTTCAGGTAAAGGCGGCTGAAGGTAAGTAGATCCAGATAAGCTGATATGTTTGGGTCGAACACGGCTAGATCTCTGGTAGCCACTTTTTTTTTTGGTTGGTTGGTTTGTTTTGTTTTAGTTCAGGCTTTTACTACTATAATTAACAGGGTTTCAGGTGTGGAATTAGGGTTGGGGGTTTTTTTGAATTAACTGGATACAGGAATTGCCACTTTCCTTTCTAAATCGTCAGCTACTCACCACTGTTGGACAGCTTCCTAATTTATTCCACAAGTTAGTTTATTGTTATTACTACATAAAAATGAGTAAATCACCCTAAGATTCTGCAAAAGGAAAGACAATAATTTAAACAAAGTAATGTGAGTGTATCACTTTAACCGTTTCCACAATATAACTTAGTTTGTGATTACCCGTTATTGCAGTGGGACAATCCCACAGGGACCAGGATCCAATGACAGATCCCTTAGCCTCACCACAAGAAATCAAAAGTATCTCAGTTATCCAAGGAAGGCAGAACTAGTAAATTTAACTGTAATGAAGCACAACTACCAGATAAAGGCCCCCTGAACCCACCTTTTACAAAAGTGTAAAGAGACAAATTCTCCAGGAGAATATACATCATACGTACTGGAGCAAAAACCAAGCAAGAGATGCCACAGTGGGAGAGGTGAAGGAGATAGATAGTGGGCAACATGACCAAGGCACTGCAGCTTCTGGTGGCAGCCCCATCTGCTCCATACAGCTTCAAGGCCCGCAGGGGTTAATACAGTTAACTTCTAGCTCCTCCACAGAGACAAAACTACGGAAGTGAATGTCTGCTTGTGGATATTTTAAACAAAAAAGAAAACATATGTCCCTCTGGAACTATGCTTGCTGTTTCCCCAGCAGATATGATGCAGAGAACAGATAGCCTAGGTCTACAATTAAATGCAAAAGCTTTATTCCAAGGAGCAATTAGAGAACAATTTAGGGAATACACTCCAAATATAAAGGTTCTCAGATTAGCAAAGTGGAAACACAGAAAAGTTGAGAATGCTTATATACACTAATGTAAAAAATTTAAAACCCACCAAGTAACTCAGCTGTATAAAACAGCAGTTTCTTACCTGTGTGAAGAATGTTTCTACAAACTATGAAAGACAATTTAGAATTAATAATTAAAACCAGCCTTTTTTCTCCCAGAGGCTATTTTATGATTTTACACGTAACTAGTAATGAGCAAAAATTTAAACACAAGAATGGACTTAATTCAGAAGGCTGAAAAGAAAAATAGGTAATTTCATTTATAAAAATAGAAATTTACTTTAAAAATTTAAACATTTGAATTAAAACCACAAGTGTGATAAATAAATATTGAGGCCAGTATGACGCCTATCTTTAAATTCAAGTCTTGAAACATGCTGGTAGATGTTTCACAGTACAAATTCATTAGGTAGTCTGGACCCAAATGCAGCGCCAGTGCGTGCAGACAGAATCCCACCGACTGCAGAAACTCAGCAGGAGTGCTTGTGGCTCGTAGGGGGCTGGAGCTGTGCACTCCCCAGGGACAGAAGGCCAGGGGGGATCTTAAGTCATCATCTAGTCCAACCTCTGCCAGAGGATGAACTGTGCCTTAAACACTGCCAATGTTTAAAGTTGTCTTTGTTTAAAAATCTGTGTAAATGATTTTATATTGTTCTCAGGAAATGTACTGCAAGCCTTGCAAAGTTACCATCAGGATTATTTCTCCAAATGCCTAATCGAAAGGTAGGCAGTTACTTCTTGTCCTATGAACAGCAGATTTGGGGAACAAGGTTTCGGTTCTGTATGGTTTACTGTCTTCTCTGTAACAGTTTTTTACAAATGTGAATATTCCTTTAGTCATTGCTCCTGCAGACTAAACAAAGCAAATTCTTCCAATTTTACATACAAAATGATATTGCCTAGCACTCTCATCTTTCTTGTCTCTCTCCACTGGACTCCTTCCAAGTAGCCCCCAAGCTCCTCAAAGTGTGGTGCCTGAAACTGGATATAGTATTCCAGCTCCGACCTCATTAGGCATAATTAGAGTAAAAGGTTATTTCATGTGAATTTAATGGGGAATGCTTATTTATTTAGCTTAGTTTGAAATTTGCTTTTTCACAAAAACGTTACATTATTGACCCACAATTAGCTTGCCACTCACTGGAATCTGCACATCCTTTTCCACAGAATAACCACAACTAGCCAGGTCTCTTCCATCCTTTTCCTGTTACTTAGTTCAGTTCAATACTTTCTATTTGCCCTTAATGAAGCAAATCTTACTTGTCACCTAATTTCAACAATTAATTTAAATAACTTCTTGTTCTAATCTGTTCCTCTGATGCACTTTTAGCCTTTATTGGCAATATATGCATGTAAATGAAATATCTGTTGCAGAATCCAATCTATTTATAAAGTATATTGATTAGCATAAAATCGATCTAAGTAAAGGCCTCATTACACTGTCCTAGGTGACAGTGAATTGCTAACAATAACTGTAAGTACAAATCACTCTTGTAGATCCATATTAACTATGCTTCCTCCATTGGCAATGAAAATGTCACAAGCAGTCTACCAAAAACCCCTTACCAAAAGCAAGATGTGTCACCGCTGCAGCTTCTCTGTTCACAAGTCAATTATTCTGCCACAGAGGAATTATTTGATAGGATTTATCTGATACGGTATTTTCCCTTTTCTCTGAAATGGTGTATATATTAAAAAAATTTAAAAAAAAGAGAACACTGGAATTGAAAAGTAGGTATAGGAACTATTTTCCCTCAGAATTAATATTAAAAATGACTACAATGCATATTTCAGCTTGTGAAGATCTTCAAGATAATGAAAACCATGAAGATAACAGTGAGAATTCAGAACTAGTTCTGAACTTTCAGATTTTGTTCAGACATATCTGAAAGCAATGCTTGCATGTCTCAAAATGTATTTTTAGAGGACATGTTTGAAAGAATTGGACAGTCCTAGTTCATGAAATCTCTGTATTTTATGAGGAGTTACGGAGCCAGGCTAAATTCAAATGTTACTCTATATATTTGTCTTCTTCCAGTCTACTGTATCTATTGCCTTCTGTTGTTAGTAGTTAAAAATCACTGTTACTATGAAATGCTTCAGTCATAGGTATACATACTGTTTCACATCGGCGCAATTTTTAGATCTTTATTGAGGTGACTGTAGTTCCTACTTGCTAATTTCACTGTTCCACATCTGTTCAAAATTAAAGCCCCAATTGGTAGTTCATTATTGGTGCCATATGAGTCCTCCTTGTTTTAGCCATAAAGTGGGCCATGTTATCTTACACATCAAATAGGTCAAAGCAATGTGCAGCTGTTCTTATCCGATTGCATTTCTTTTAACAGAAACGCTGAGTTCTTCCAGATACACTCCCTGCATCTAGATTAAGATCCTGAAGTAAACGCCTTTATTCTTTATTTAGTAATGGCCTTTATTCTTCTACAGAGTTCGGTGAATTCTGTGTCAGTTGGTGAACTACATTTGTTCTCTACCTGTTAGATTTTACTGAAAACACTGCTGTCCTACATGCTCAGATGGAAGTAGTAAGTCTTCGATTAGTCTATTTTTATGTACACGTTAAGCTACATATATGAAGGATATAAAAGGTTAGTGATGGTCACACGATCAACTAGATTCTCCAGAGACACACTGATGCCACCATGCTAGCCAACTGTTCAAAGAGAAAAAGCCAGGATTCACAAACTTGATGGAGGTCCTACAACAAATCCATTAAACACCACAGCTGTAACAGATTAATCTAAAACACTTCAATTGGTCTGATTTTTAATATTGTACTTGATGTTACAAATAAAATATAACTTCAATATTAAATTTATAAAGTTTTCACATTTCCATGTAAAACCAACAGTAGGTTTAAAGTAAAAAGAGCTTTGTGGAGACAACAGCTTTATCTTTAACTTCAACAAGATTCTAATTTTATAATAGTAGAGAAAAATGTGTAAACATAGGCATTCGTGATTTTCTTCTGTACACATCTATGTAAATTAGTTGATACAAATATAATTTACTATAGAAACGTTTGTTTGTTTTTGCTACAGACAGTTCTATGCTGGCATCACATACTAGTCAATTAATCTTCCAAAGAGTGAGAGCTATGCCTTTTGTTTTCTAACCCCTAGTATGTCCATTGCCAGCAGTGGACTTCATGTTCAGAGAATCAGACTCACAGTGTCAGCAATCTAAAATTAAACTTCAGTATGAGATTATAAATAATAAAAAATGAACCCATCATTTTCATATCATAGTCACCAGATGCTTAAATGCCATGATCCAAGCCAACCAAAATCAATGACAATTTCCCCATTCACTTAGCTGGAATTCACCCACAGTTCCCAGTCACTATAGATTCTCATTTTAGTTTTGCAATTTTATCTCAGCATGAAGAATTAAAAAGTGCGTAGTGTCACAGCTTCAGTGTGAGAAGTAAAGCCTCTAAGTCTTTCTGGGCCTCTTTATCCTGAAAGAAACAAACAATCATGCATGAACTTAGATAGGATAAATCCCTTCATTGTATAATATGCACCTATCCACATTTCTTTACGAACAACAGACGTAACACACAACTGCAACTGCCATGGAATGTAAAGACTGCATAGTAAGTTAATTTATAAGTGAACGCAAAAATAAAGTTTGAAGTGAAAACAAGAGCCAGATGCAGTCCTCCCTTTATAGCTCTGTTAAAGCACTTAAGCCACAAATAGCCTTCTCAGCAGACCAGCAAGCCTTTTAGCTTAGCCCGTAACTTTTACTGGGGTACTTTGCAGGAAGTACTGCCTTGCCTTATACTTTACAGAATCTTGCAACCCAACTGCGTGCAGCTTTACTAAAGATATTTCTGTGACGTTTGCTAATGATTTATTATGCAATTGACAAGAAAACATTGGGAAATGTAATTAATAACATCAGTTAGATTGTGGTTTTGGTGTATACAGCCATACCTACCTGTAATAACCAGCATGGATTGACTACACCCTCAGTATCTTCCATACTGATGTTGGTAGGCTCTGCCTATGCTACTGGGCTCATAGCTGAGTGGAGCCAGTGGGGGAGCAAGAGGCAAGTAATCTGCTGTGCTCAGAGCCAACACTATATTATACCTCCTAGGACAGAAGGGAAAGGCTCCTTTTAGGTTGATGCTTAAGTGCACAAGTTTGCAGAGGGCTTTCTGTAAACCAAACCCAGCTCACAGACTCTTAGTCTCAGGTAAGCAGTGACATGTGTTTTAGCTATTCCATGTATAATCCATTCTAAAAGGGGTACATGCATGTGAACGTATAAACACAGTACAAAACCTCCATTTTTCTACTGATTTTTTTAAATGCCTTCTGGATATAATCCTCCTGCTTTACTTGCCACTGAAAAACTTCTATTTGCAAAATGCACCTTGGTTAAAACCACATTTCTGAAAAGTCAGCACCTCATACCTGTAGTCAGGTAGGGGTCCCAAGACCCAGTACATGCACCCATGTGTACTTAGCAGTGCGAATGAAAAGCACTTGCATGTCACAAATTTTGTGCAAGTATTTCTAATGACAGAGACCAGTATTTCTTTCCCAGATAACACCACAGGCAATTCTGAAAGAAAATACTGTAGACAGACAGTGAAGTAAGTAATCACTGAATTTCAGGAACACTTCATCATCCAATCAACCAAAGAGCTGGAACAAAATACAGGACATTTAAAAACACATTTTACGGGTGAAGAAATTCCTGCTTCTCTTTATTTTGGTTAGTTGTCTATAATGTCATGGAGGAATAGAGAAGAATATTGAGATGATAGAAACCATATGCCAGACATGTCAAACTACATTATATTATTGGTCTGGATTAAGGCATTAATACATTAGCTGGACACTTCTCTTGGAGTTGCTGCCTTACTCCCACTGGCAACAACAGGCTAAACTATCTGCCTAATCATTTATCAGAGGCCTTAAAAGGCATAACACTGCAAAGCCAGTAAGCTCTTGCCAAAATAGTCTAACAGAAGGAAATGTCATACTGAATTCGGCACTCCTTAAGCTCCACATCACCACAAGCTGCCTGGAGCACCAGCTCGTGGCTTTCAACAAAAGTTAGGAAACTCACAATTTGTATCAATATGGTGACTAATTCAGGGAAAATACATTCTCTTCTTACTGACTGTGGTCAACTTGTGAAAATGATTCTAACTCCATTAAGCAAAACAGTAAAAAGCTATTGTCCCTTGCTGTTAAGAAAATAACACTGTATTTTCCAGTTTCACTGTATCTGATCCTACTCTACATACTTTTCTAAGCCAAAAATGATAAAGATGCAGATTTTCTCATATCTCAGTGGTGTCCATGGGTTCATGGGTTGATGGGATTCTTTACACACTTTGCAGGATACAACATTTAAAAAATTTATCTCCAAACAACTTTCTATAATTGACTCTCTCCTTAGAAGCAAAGGATTATATTGGGCAATGAGCTTTCATGAGCTGCAAAGGTCCCAGAAGTATTGGGCAATCTTCCCTGAACCTTCCACTGGGCTTAGGAGAAAGAACAAAACAAACCCATGATTGTTCTAAGATCTAGTTGGAGAAGAAACTGCAAACGTGCAAAGCGTCCTACCTCTGGACGCCAGAGTTGCTAGTTCCAAACAAGACTATATCAGTATAAGCAAGAAGAATTATTGCTGCAAACTACTTAACAGACTGCGTTAATTGAGCCAGCAGCTTCCAGTCAATAAAAATTCAGATGGCAAAAGCACTGAAAAAAAAAAAAATCACTGATGGCATTGAAAACAAAACTGAGAATGGCCAGTGAACTATTATGTCACCTTTGGAAAGAGTCCTTCCAGACCAAGAGGTGTGTCATGCTAAAATGAGAGAGAAGTCACAACTCTCTCCAGTGGACCAGTCTCCAGTTTTAAGAATGAAAACATTAATGCCCAAAGTTTGACTGTTAATGGGAAGACAAAGCCATAAATCCTGTGTTTGGCCAGCTCTCTTCCTCACTGATTTCTGGACCTGTGGTTTTCTGGTGGCAGGTTCTGTTTGTGGGGGTTTTTTTTGGATTTTTTGTTTGCTTTTTTTAAGATGGGCAGGCTTTGATCTCCCTTCAGAGCATGGCAGAGAGAGGAAGAGGCGCAAGTTGCAGGAGGAATGCAATATATTTGTGTCAGACCCATTTGTTCACCCTGAGGCTTAGCCCAGCACTGACTGAATACACAGTCATTCTCCGAACTTGACTTTCTCCTGTCAAGGCTTACATTTATTAAACACTTCTCATATCATTTTCAGAGTTGAATAGGAGTTCAAAATGTCTGCAAACTGCTACACAAAAGGTATTCAAATTACAGGGTCAGTGAGTATATTTTCCCCTCTTCCTATTTAGTTGCTTTTATGTTTCATCATTCTCAGGGAATATGCACAGGAAAAAAAAGACCTGGGAGGCCAGGGACTGAACAAGGGAAGAGAGGGAGTTGAGAACAAGAGCAAGACGGAAGAGAGAGCTGGTGGGAAACAGGGAATGTTGGCTTAACTGGAGGTATTCCACATTTTGACAGTTAATTTCTGCTGAAAAATTTACTGATAAATATATACACAGACATACACATATAAATGTGCAAGTAAAAATTAAATGGCAATTAAAGCAGAGACAGAAAGATAATTATTTTACCTTCCATCTCTGCTAATTATTTCCTTATGTGCTAAACACACTCAACCCAGGCACTGCACATATGTGCACTCGTTGACAAAGTCCCACTGTCAACACAGAATGATACACCCCCATGACCACAACCAAAATGGTTACACTGGCCAACTAAAACATAATCGTGTGCAACCGCTGCCAAATCCCAAGCTGACATGTATCCCACAGGGTTTCACTGAAGTCAGCGGGGCTGCATGGTGTGTTAAATGAGCTGGTCTGCCAGGGTTGTCCAAAGCTGTACGCTGACATGCGGTAACAGCAACGAGGTGCTGAGAGCCACTCCTGCTTTCGGGTACAGCTGTATCATTCTGTTGCAGCTCCAGGAGATATCCTGGATTGTGATAGAAGAGACTCCCAAACATGCATTATGACTGTTAATTAAAGAGGAATAGGTCTTGTGGACAATTTAAATCATGCAAAGTTATACGCTCTCCCTTCTCAGCTTCATGACAGACTCTCACAGATGGTGTGACTGTAGTAGGCATTAATTTGCATACAATTGCAGAATACTGTTTTTCCCCTTAGGTAGTTCAATAAACCAATGCAATCACCCACTTGCAACCTTCTATATGACTGCTGTATGTCACAAGTTATGGCATTTCATGTTCTTCCATATTTTTAGTATCTTCCTCTGAGGATGAACTGTGACTTCTCAAAGCTCTCAAGATCAAAGCAAGCACAGCTTTAAAATGCGTAGCTAACAGTAATTGTGCATTTTCTGGTTATCCTTCAAGTGGAGGGAAAAACACCATTTTGCATCAGAAGACTGTGAATAAAGATTAAGGATTGTTGAAAAATTACAGAATAATAGAATTTAACTTAGAATAATTAATAGTCACGTAAAATTTTTATCCACCTAGTTCTTTCCCAACTTAAAAGACTAAGTTTCATGTTTAATCTGGTTTCCTTTTCCTATTGTACACAATGTGGAGCTTTTGGTGTTCAAGACATTTCCCTCTTTCTGTCCAGCTGCGACCCCACCATGCTGGGACCTACAGCACTTTCTGTGCAGTCATTACTGGAACAGCTTGAACATGATCAGCCCATTTACAGCCCCTTCAGAAAGATGCCTGTTGAGGCTTTCCTTCACCTTGTATATTGACTCTGAGACAATATATTTCAAACTCCTAGAAGCGTGACTTCCTCTGGCCACTCTACAAAAATAGGAGACCAATTCTGAACCTCCTCATCCTGCAAAGCACCCCACCTCTGTGAATACTTTTCCCACTCTGCCCCTGCATGCCAGCAGAGGAGAGAGATACACTCCATGCTTGTGAGGAATCACCTGTTGATCAGTCTTGTACTAAGAAGTATGCTAAAACTATGTTACCTTTGATAGGATGTTGAAATGAGTACTTTGTGATACTAGTGGATTAAATCATAAATATAATAAACTCAGTATTTATCAGGATAGACTTTATCCTTATCTATGAAATTATTACACTACAAAAAAAGGAAAAAAAGCCATCATTTTTTGGAATTGTTTTTGGAGGGGGAGAAAGAAAAAGCAGACAATGCAAACAAACCTTTTGGCAAGAACTTCAAAAACATGCAGACAACAAATCAGTCTGATCACCAAGAGAAAAATAGATTGTATTCTCTGAAGTGCAAAATAATGTAAAATACAGGAGGTCTCAAATTCTTTTAGCAGCTCTTTTACAAATGTCTTATTTCTACCAGCATTTCAAAGTTTGAAATCTGATCTCTTTATGAGTTTTTAAAAGACCCAGTGCCTGAGCTTGAAGCACATAGATTCAGTGTAAACAGAATCACTGACTAAGGAATACATTAAAAATATATTCAAATGATACTTTCATTTTAGGTTGGTGGTAGCAATTACGAAATTCTTGTTCAACTCCACAAACATTACTAGCAGGAAAACAATAGCCTGGAACTAAAAATGAACACAAATCTGAATACTTCCTTATTTTGTATCTGAAGCATCACCAACTTTTCCTTAGCATTTGGAGACCAAACGTGCATGAAATCTAAAGGAACAAATATCCGCTGTAAACAATGACATTTTGTATTGAGCTGATGATATTAAGAAAAGAAAATGTTCCATCTGATGAGAAAACAGAACCATTTTTATGAGGTTACCTCAAATGATTCACATAGTTTCAGTGGGTAGTTTTTTCACAAACAAGTCATAATTTATACCCTTCACTTTAAAAGCAAAAGTACATTAAATTTTTCTCCTTCAAATCTTATTTAGAAGGACAGATTACCACAGCAGTTTCAAATGAGATCTGTTGGAAATATCACAGCAAGATCTGCTACACACAACTAATCTACAGTGGCTGGAGCAGGGATTTCTTGAAAAATCTGCTGTGGAAAATTCCAGGTATACAAAAGGTCTGTTGTAATAAGAACAACTGATGGGTGTCAAAGTTAATACTCTGCCTTCTCTTCCATCCTTCTGTATCTCCCACTCATTTCTTTATGGACAACATTAGAAATGGAAATTAATGACTGAGGAGAGCAATTGTGGTGACGTAAAAAAATAAGTAAGAAAATGTTACAAGCATGATTTCTCCTCAGCAGCTGCATTCTTGTATAAACATTCAGTCATTGTTCCTGCCCATTATTACATTTACCACCTTCTCCATGTGGGCTTTCCTACAGTTTCAAATGTCACTGAGGCCGAAGGCAGAGTATTTAACAAACCTGTGCTCCCTGTCATTCTGTCACCTGTAAGAAGTGAATGCCATAATGGTAAATTCCTGTAATATCTAAATCTCTCTTACTTGTTAATTTCAACTCCGAATTGCCTTAATTTGTAATTTCAGGGAAGGAGGGATTGGTTTTGAAATTTTTTAATTTTTTTTTTAAATCACCAATAGTTTTGTAAAATACATACTGAGCTTCAAGGAGATTTTTACCTGTATTTTAAGTTAGCCTTTCAGCAGCTCTCAGTGCATTCTTCCTGCTTTGCTGTCTTTGGCTCTTCCAAGACTACATTTTTTGTAATATAACTGCTGTTTTTCAGATTTATTTTCAAAAAAGGTCATAGAGCCCAGAACTTTGACATTTTAATCACTTTCTCTGTTGGGCTGTTAAACCCCTTTATGGTGAGCTTACTGGTCCCACAAGCACAGAGTTCACTCCCACGCTGATACCCATCTCCAGATAAGCAAATACAAAATAATTTCTTTGCTATTATACTTTATAATCCTACATTCAGATTTTCATTTTCTACAAGTTCCAGCGTTGACAATACCCAGCAATCTTTGTTATAAAAAAGAAATTAGTGTCTTACTCCCCTTTCACGCAAAGCTCTATGTGTTTAAGCAAGTACACCCCCCACCCCCTGCATTCTGTCTTTCTATATGAAAGACAAATGTTCATGTTTTCAAATTTTAAAAAGTCATTTTTTTCCATCTCAGTAGTCCACCACATCTGGTTTCAACAGCTCTTCATGTAGTCACACTCAGCAAGGCTTTGAGCACACTACAAAGTAATGAGTCTCAGTAAGGGTAATGCAACATCTACTAGATAAACAGAGCAGCTGTTAGGCACTTTACAATAGCTCACAGCACAGAGCTCACAGGGATCTCTTTTACTGAAGGGGTGAATATTTCCCAGGACCCTGAGGTTATCCACCTGGACAGCAACCAGAGAAAAGCAGGATAACTTAATGTCCTGTGCACCTCCAACAGTGAAGTACCACTCCACAGCATGACAGTATTTATGGCCAAAGAAAGACCATATAATTCATAGAAGGTTTTTGTTTAGAGAGGATAAAGAGTATATTGTACTGCAACATTGTTAAAATTAAAAAATGCAGAGACTGATTAGTTAAAAATTTGCCAAACTATTTTTTAAATCTTGTGCTAGGACTTAGAGGAGTTATTCAATCAGAACTTGTCTCTTATGATTTCTTTGGTATCTTTTTTCAGGTTCATAATAGGGTTGAAATTGGCCATCTGACTCTTCTTCTCTCTTCAACAACAATTACCTCTGTTTGGAAGTCCCTCCACTCCTTGAATTAAAAACATATTCTCTAAGTGGTAGAACAGATGCACAGAAGGGCTATTGGACACAATACAACATTCAAGACAAAAATCATATCACTTAACTTGAAATGTTACATGAAATGAATCCTAGACGAAGTGTCAAAGAAGTGCCCTGAGTTAGACCACCTGGGAATTTGAACCGAGGTTTAAAATGAGCTATGGGCTATTTTACTGATGCCGAGCACCTCTGGTTCCCACTGAAGTCACTGGAAACTGTGGATGCTCAGAAGCAATAAAAAGTAAACCATTGTCTACTATTATTTTTCATACTTATACTGTGGGATGATTTGTATCATGAAATCCTATACATTTCCTCAATGTGGCACCTTTCCAGCAACTTTGTCTCTCAGTCTGCTCCTGATATGCCTTTATACATATATATGTTTCTCAGTAGAAGCCAACATTTAAAAGCAATAAAGGAATTCCCCTACCTGAAGAAAGATAGAAAACTCACATGAGAAACTGTGAGTACACTTGGGAATAATGGTTTTTGCATGACTGTGACAATACACCATGGTGCTGACAACCTTGAGATCCTGTGCTGTGGCAAACAAAGAAATCCTCAGAATGCTGCTGACCTGTGTTTTCTTTTTCAGACCGTCTTTTACAGGGCTGTAATCAATTCAGGCACTTTATCAGCATATGTTTGTTTCTATCTCCCCAATGTATCTTTAGTGTTATTACAGTCTCTTCCTTCCCTTAAACTAACTCAACCAAATGCTATTCCTACATATAGTTGAAGCCCTAAACAACTTCAGTTCCAACGTCTTTCTGCCCCAAATCAGTAACAGCCTTTCTCTAATACAATAACCAAAACAAGACGTAATATTCTAATTCAGATGGGACTTGAGGTAACAGTTATATTAGCAGAGTTTGTATTCCAAATCTCCATTTTATACCAATTCCTTCCCATGTGCACTTGGTTTTACCTTGTGCTGACTGCTTTTTTTGTTAGTTTTAATTGAATTACACACTATTGCCCTGGACAACTTTATTTCCCCCCCACACACACTTAACTCAAAACACATCACAAGTAAACAAAACAAAGCAGACAAATCTACGATATTTATAGAATTAGCCAAAACAGAGGAGGGCAACTCATTTGTCCTCTTCAGGTGGAGAAAAGATTTTTGGGGCCCATTTAACACTCTTCTGTTCACAAAGCAGTATCATTCTTATTCTCATCGTCACCCTGCTTGCCAGAATGCATACATCCCCCCTTCAGATTGCTCCCAGATTCCTGATCTCACCTCAGGGTCCTCTCTCCTTCTCAGGCCTGATGGTACTTCAGGAATATGATTCCTTTTACCAGGGACTAAGCCCTTCCAGGTGGTCTAGGACACACTGAACTCCAGCTCATGTTTAGACTGATGACACTGGAATTTAGGGGCAGGATTCACCTCTCCTTAGCTGCACAGTCTAGGAGCCAGGTGTCTCAGGCAGACATCTTAACACCTACCTATGCATCTAATCTCTCTCTGCCATCAGGGGACAGAGGGAGGCAGGATAGGGCACCTGGACCCATTTCTCTCTCTCCACCGACAATAGGGGGAGCCTCAGCAACTAGCTTCGGTCACCAAAATTTTGTCTGGCTAGTGTTAGCAAAGATGAATCCAAATCTATGCTATGTCTACACTTTTTCAAGTGAATAACTTGCAGTTTACTAAACACAGGCAGAAGTTTCTGTGGTACATGTTTGTTTGCAATTTTACCAGATAGGTTAAGAGGTCATTGCAAGATTACCAGGCCTACAGTAAGTTGAATACAGGAAAAAACAGAAACTTCACCAACCCGCTCAGTGCAGATATATACAAAACAGGCTGAGCACAGGCAATTTCAGTTGTATGCTCTTTC